AGCACTACTGACAATCAATAATTATGTGAATGCAACACAATTGCTTGTAACATTACATAATGGCGTCATCTAGAGGTATGATGGCATCAATCTGGCTACATTTCATAACTAGAAAGGGCAGTTGTCGCCAACTACATGTATCCCCCGTGTTCTAGTATGAATGAAATATCTCTGTAAGGACGTAGAAGGTAGGTAAAGTTAAATAAGTCACAAAGACAAAGGTTCGTTACACAACTCATCTTCCTGAGATGTGCAAGTATGTTAAAATTGGTTGCCTTAGGGGTTTTGGTACGCGACACGCCTTCTTCCAAAGATGTGTAAGTAGACGAAGTATGCTCGCGCTAGGTCAATTAGGGGCCGAGTTATAAAGCGGAAGAGAAATATAATGAAGGTCGAGGTCAAGGTCAAATAAAAGCCGCAGTGACATGGTTTTTGTACGCGACACACATTCTCCCCAAAATGTGTAAGTATACCAAGTTTGGTAGCGCTAGGTAAATTAGGGGCCGAGTTATAGAGCAGAAGGGAAATATGATCAAGGTCAATGTCAAGGTCAAATAATGGTCGCAGTGACCTGGTTTTGGTACGTGACACACCTTCTCCCCAAGATGTGTAAGTATACCAAGTTTGGTAGTGCTAAGTCAATTAGGGGCCAAGTTATAGAGAAGAAAGAAAATATGATCAAGGTCAAGGTAAAGGTCAAATAAAGGTCGTAGTAACCTGGTTTTGGTACGCTGCGCACCTTCTCCCCAAAATGTGTAAGTATACCAAGTTTGGTAGCGATAGGTCAATTAGGGGCCAAGTTATAAAGCGCAAGAGAAATATGGTCAAGGTCAAGGTCAAGGTCAAATAAAGATCGTAGTGACCTGGTTTTGGTTCGCTGCGCACCCTCTCCCCAAGATGTGTAAGTAATGTTTGGTCACGCTAGGTCAATTAGGGGTTGAGCTATAGAGCAGGAGGGAAAGTGTCTGCGGCGGCAGCGGCTGCTGGACAGACACGATACCATAGTATCCCCGCCGACTTCGTCGTGGGGGATACAATAACACAGTGAGGGCCATACTGGGGAAATCATTCAGGGCCGGAAATATAGCCCCAGTCAGGCCACTTTTTAAGCGGGGGATCTGGGGGTCCCGGGACTCCCCAAGCAGAAAAACTTTTGTTACAAAGACTTCATTCCATGCATTCTGGTAAATTTTAGTGCACGTGAATCACAAACTAATGAGCCAACAACTGCTTAGTGCAATATACTGTTATGAATCTCAAATAAAACAACCACCCCCACCCATAATAATATAGCCTGCAGGCCGCAGATTTAAAAAAAAAAATATATATATATCTAATCTATATTTGAGTTCGTATGTATGTATGTATGTATGTAACGTAACGTAACGTAGCGTAACGTACCATAACGTAGCGTAACGTACCATAACGTAGCGTAACGTAGCGTAACGTACCATAACGTACCATAACGTAGCGTAACGTAGCGTAACGTAGCGTAACGTAGCGTATGTAGCGTAACGTAGCGT